TAAAATATGACATTTTTGTTTTAGTGTGTTTGTCATTAGGTTAATGAAAGAAAAATTGTATTTAACAAAAAAAAGCAAATCATCTTCCTTTAGTGCCTCCATTTCACCCTGTCTTATCCTTAACACCCTCTAATCACCTCATTATGCCCTTCTACATCCACAAATCTTCTCTGTGGTCTTCCTCATGCCCTTCTGCCTAGCAGCTCCATCTTCAACATCCTTTGTCCAGTATATCTACCACCCCTACTATCCTTTCTCTGCCCTGCCTCTCTAACTTTGTCTAACTGCTTTCGTTATCTCTACTCTTTATATCTCTCCTTCTCATTCACACACACATATTCTGTCTTGCTTCTACTGACTTTAATTTCTCCCCTCTCCAGGCTCTCCTCCACTTGCTCCCTACTCTCACTACAGGTCACAATGTCATCTGTGATCATAGTCCATGAACACTTCTGCCTGACCTCATATTTTCTGGAGAAAATAGGTTATAGCCTATTTTAGTATCTCACCTGATTGCAGTTGTCAACAGGATGTTGCGATAGTTGACAGATTAAAAAACATATTGCTTCAAATAGTTGTACACCTGCTCTGTCATTTCAGCTGTGATGTCATTCAGAGCGTTTCCATTTTTTTCATCTTCTTTTAGCTCTCATGTCATATTCTGTCATCTTTCCTCAGAAAGAGGTCAGCATGATCAGTCACATTTATAGCTCGTACTCAATTCTGTTTAAACAACAAGAAATCGTAGCTCCACTCGCTACAGCTCTACAGCATTACATGAAAATTGATGTTCCTCATCCACGTCCTTTAGCTTTTCTACAGTAGTGGGGTAATGTAATCTGGCAAGACTCTCACCTGTGCACTTATATTTCCTTTCCTTTTGAATTAGTCTCTTTACACCACAGCTAGACAGTGATTCTAGGTGTGTATCACAGTGTCAGTGGCCTAAAATAACAGAAATCCATTGTTCACTTGTGGCATATGCTGAATAATAGCTGTCAAGCTGCACTGAATGGACACTAGTTTGGAAACTATATAAAGATAACTGTCAGGGTTCAGTTGAGTTGGTGGTGTTAGTAAAGATTTTTCCATAAAAATAAGTGTAGCAGTTCTGCACCAAGTCGTTTCATGAGTTTACTTTGCACGACAGTAAAGAATTTAAAACTTTTACATGAAAGAAAAGGTCTTCAGCACAAATGTCATCCTTCTTTAGATTTATCACGTGTTATCTGACATGTTAACACAACTTTGGCAACAATGTTCTTTAAAATAAAATTGCACATTATGGACATTTTACGTCAATGCCTCGTGAAAGAACCATTACCATTAACACAATAAATAAATACATAGAAGATGAAGAAAAAAAATTAAGGTTCCTGTTTTGTTTTTTTTATTCTCACTCAAGTCCCGAGACACAAGCTGGAGGATTCAAAGAGCAGTGACTTCAGGAAGAACTGGACATGAAATAAAAAGTGTTCCCCTCCCACGTACAACCGTAGTCTCCCAATATTTACACCCAACTAGAGTCCATTAAGATTTCAGTTATTTTCTACATTTGTTCTCAAAGAACACAAAAACACATTTGACTAAAATGTGCAAATGAAACCTGGCAACTGTATCATGATCAAGAACTGGCACTAAAAATGTAATCTTGTCACAGAAAGCTCTGTGCAGGACCGGGCAAGGTCACTCCAGTAAGACAACTTTTTGGACTTTGTGCTGGCTTTGTGTTTTTTGTCAAGTGTGAGTTTAATTATCTAAAATGTAGCATTATATGTACAATTATCTCTTTGACAAAATCACTGTCCTTTTATTGCAATTAATGGTTATTATTGAAATACCAAAGGATCCCTGCTGAAACACTGACTTTACAGCCTAGTCCTGCACAGAACTTTAGCATTAAGAGCTTGAAACAATGTCTTAAGTCAAGTCCACGGCAAGAAATTGCAATGCAGTGCAAGGCCCAGTAGCCAGTAAGAGAGGAAGTATCCCAGGATGCTCTGTGTGGTAGAAGAACAGGCTTTTAAGTGTGGCAGGAGCGCAACAATAGGATTCTGAGGTGTGTGCTTGCAGCTATTTCTAGAATGCAGCTGCACGTTGGGGTTTGATGTTTTCCTTCGATGAAGGAGTGGCTCATTGAGGAGGAGCAGGTGAGCACTTATCCAGAATGGTACAGGAGACGAGGAGGCCATGAATCGGGTTAGTACCTACAAAGGCAGATTAAGAGAGGAGGGGTGAAGCTTTGAATAGCTTCAAACAAGACATTTTGCAAGACACTCATTATACAACTTCCTTACCTGCACATGCATGCACAATGTCCCGAAAACCAGCAGCACTGCAGAATGCACCACATACACGAACACTCGAGGGTTGAAGAATCCAGGCGTGGGTTTGTCAAGCCCTTTGTTTGCACTTGTGTCCCAAAGGCCGAGTCTCACACACAGCTCTGGATTAGCTTGAAAGTATGCATAACAGGCAATTATTCCAAGGGTGGCCATAGGAAGAGCCAGAAGAAAGTTGGGTATCTGCTTCAGCTCAAAATAACGGAGGAAGCCCACATCCCAATATACATCCTGGATGTGAGAATAAAGCAGGGGCAGGGGTCTCATACACCAGAGGGGTGGTGGACCGTTTTCATCCGGAACCCGGTAGCCCTTCCGTTCAGCTATTGACAGGAGAGCAGGAGGAATGCTCTCCAAGGAGGTGGATGGTGTGCAAAACGTCCTATAACCATAGTATTGGAAAGCACAGAAGGGTAGGGCAATAATTGCAGTTCCCAAGACAGAGGTCAGCAGCAGACAGATGATGACCCAGATGTAGTGGAAGACTTTACTGTGGCCTTTTGTTGTGGCGCGATACAAACGAATCTGGGAGATGGCATGCAGTGATGGAAGATACAGCAGAAACCCTATGTTGACAAGGCCATTTGATCGTGCTGCGGTAGCTATGCTGAGGGCAAGGCAGGCTCGGAAGATGAATCCTTTCTCCAAGAGATAAAGACCACCGAAAGTGAGAGCAGCAAACAGGCTCTCCGAGTACCCAGCAGTCATGAAAACATTGGCGGGTGTGATGCAGTAGAGCAGGCTGGAGAGCAGAGCAAGACGCCTGTCCTGGAGAACTATTCTACTGAGGGCATGCAAGGCGACGGCGCTCAACAGGAAGAGGGCGCTGTTTCCCAGGGCCACAGCAATCAGCAGCCGCCCCCGCACACTCAGCCAGCTGCTCAGGGGCCACAGCAGCGTCTCTGCCAGGCCCCGGAGGATGACGGGGAAGAGGGGGAAAAACGCAAAGTTGTGCTCGTAAAGATATCCTCTCTCGGCAATGAAGAGGAAGTGCTCAGCATCCCAGTGAGAGAGGCCGCCAAACAACCACTCCACCATCGAGTCAAAGTACAGGGAGTCCTCTGTCCGAGGGGGCCTGAACGCATCGGCGTCATGGTCAGGGATAGCAGCGTTCAAGACAGCCTGAAAAGAAACATTTATCATTATTAAAATACACATTCGTGATACACATGTCAGCTGTATGCTTTTAAAGTATACAATGACTTTCACTACAGCCTGTAGGTAGAAACGTCCTGTTGTAAAATATGACTCGTTCATTCGAGACTTTTAAGGATGCCAAACTTACCTGCAGAACCAGAGAGAGGCCCCTGGTTACTGTGGCAAACTCCAAAACTGCTCTCACATCCATAGTCACTGATGCGACACACAAAAGCCGAGAAAGCCGGTTACGACAGGCATCAGCTCTGCCGCCAATACGACACTCTCACTGCTGGAGTCGGCATATTTTCTATAAAACATAGCTACAACGGAAAAATAAGTAGTCGGTGAATTATTTTTTAGAAGTTTGGCGTTGAAGTTAGGAAACGAAAAGAGTAAACACAAATGATATTTTATGGTCTTCGAGCGGCGTTTGTTTGTCGCTCGGCTGAACTCTTTGTCCTCATATCCTCATCCTGCAGCTTCTTTTCGAATGGCACTTTTCTCTTCCGGTGTAAGGGCAAACGTTATTTCAAAATAAAAGTTCGCATCGTTGCGGTAATATCGCTAACACGCCATACATGTCCGCTCCAGCAGGCGGCGCTTGATACTGCCCCATGGACTGGTTTATGCCCACAAACGGAGTTCCCCCCCCCCCCCCCCTTTCATTTCATTTCATAAATAGAATTATAATGATTTAGAAGATTTTTATTGATATACACATTTCTGAATATTTTGTTTTACTGCACTGATATTTGGGTTTGATGGCCTGAAACTATTTTGATTAAGTTCATGTAAAAGAAAGCCCTTTTGTGTTTTGCAGCCTCATAAAGTACAATGAGACAATCTAGTAACACAGGGGTGTCAAATAGAAGGCCTGGGAGCCAAAGGTGGCCTGCAAAGAATCTAATCCGGCCCACCAAAAGACTATAAAATAAAAAAAATATAAAGGAATGCATCTTGTGACCTTCAGCTGTATTTTCATGTTTTACAGCTTTTCCTGCTGATAAAGACCTCCCTCACAGCCATTTTTATTATACGAAAATAGTTACTAGAGAACACAAAAAGTTCTTGTTTTTCACTCTCTACTATAGAAATTTCAGTTTAAAAACAAAAAAAGTTTTCTGTGATTAAACAAAAACTGAATACAGGACAGTCTGGACAGTGAGCTACCAGAACTTTTTGTAATTGTATAAATTCATCATGTAGAAAAACTGAGATGTGACATCTTAATCTCATATTAAGATATCCCAGGGACTAAATGTTTAGTAAAAATCTATCTGACAAAATGTTTAACTCATCTTCCCCACTTCAGATAAAAGTGAGCTGTGTGTATGTAAAGTGAGATTCATGTTGTAACACCTTTTTAAGGAGTTTTAGGAGTCTTTAAATATAAGTGAAGCATTTATTGAGCAGATAATCTTGAACATGTGGTTTAAAGAGCATCTCTAAACAGTGCCGTGTGAATTCATTCATTCCCCCCCAAAAGAAGGTCGTTATTGCAAAAGAACAAAACCATCAAACAGCTTACGAAGATTTAATGTACATTTATTCTTACCACGTGGAACATATAGTATAAAGATTTCATACTGAATAAATGATATTCATTGAGCCAAAAAAGGGAAAGGGAGGAATTTACACGATGTCTTAGCTACATAGTCTGAAATACAAATATGCAGAATCCATGACTGGAGAAAATTCAAACGTGTTCTTCATCTAGTTTATTTTCATTGTACCAGGAGATAACAGGTCTGAGCCATGTCTGCCATACTACGGAGCTGTGGAGAGACCAGAGATGTGGGTCTTATCGGAGAGGACCGAAGGTCACGGACCAAACTCACGTCAGCCTCCGTCCCGCGCCAATAAACAAGTGTGAGAATAGTGACACAGAGAGAGAGCGAGAGAGACAGACACAGAAAGGAAGTATAATGTACAACATTATATATACACCACAGCAAAGCTGTATCTGAAGTTGAAAACCAGTCCTAAGAGGTGATTTCTTTTCATAAGGGTATTCATACAATCAAGGGATAAGAGGAGGTAAGGGTGTTGTAGGTTCTTGATACTTTGGGGAAGAAAGCCATTTTCTGTTTTAACACCAAACTAAATTGACCTCGAAACTCTTGAGGAGCTGCATCGCCAGCTTCTGTGTGGAAACGTGTGTTACAGAATGCTTACACTCAAGAGCAGTACGGTACAGAAAATGTCCTACAATCTACTGCACACTGCACAGGCCTCCCCGGTGAAGGTGTCTATTGACAGCACTTTGTCTACTGTCGGGCTGACTGGTGAGAATCCAACTACAGCAACTATAACCAGTAGGCCACTTAATCAGTCTGCTTCACCTCTGAACATCAACCAGTCACAGACTCATTGTGCCCTCGAGGGGAGAGCTAGGGCACACTGTGTCTCCCAAACTCACTGTAAACGAGACAGCAACTTTGGTTACAGTTTTTGTTTTTTCAGCTATTTATTATTTATTAAAAAGTACTTTCCCCCCCTGCCCGCCCCACCCGAGTGCAGCACAGTCTCCCAACCGTGGTGCTTTGCTCTGTGTCATCCAGTGGGCATTTTCTTTGCAAGTAGTGTCACTTTGTCGGCATCTCTCCGATTTGTAGATCCACCACCGCTCCGTGATTAACCCCGCCCTGCCCCTCCGTCTCCTCGAGTGAGGCTGGCCCAGGATGGGGAGGCACGGAAAATGGAATCTGAAGGATTTTCATAAATTAAAATACAGACAGTCACTTGAACTTTCTTTGCCCTGTTACACACACATAAGCCAAGGTTACCAGGAAGGAGGGGGACTGGGGACAAAACCCCCAAGAAGTGGAGCCACGGCTCCCTCCAGCTGTCATGACTGGCCGATCAGAAAGAGTACATCACAGATAACATGAGAAACCAGCGAGTTCATGAGGGGAGACACTGAAAGGTCGAGGAGTCGGGACTCGTGTAGTGTGAACTCTGAGTGGTTCTCCTCCACCTTAGCTAAGGCGTGCAGGGCCCGGGCTGCTCGCCGCATCATGTCCGGGCTCGTGGGTTCAAAGGGCATCCCTTGTAGGTGTAGCAGAGAGCTCTGGCTCTGTTGCAGCTGTGTGGCAGCCAGACTGTCCTCCAGAAAGCCCAGCAGGTTGCCCACGCTGCCCTTCTGAACAGCGATTGCTCGGGCTGCCAGAGTGTCACCCTGGGCCAGGTTGGCTAGTAGAACTACGGCCATCTCCCTACAGACCGCAACCTTCCTGTCTCCAATTAGCCGCACCAGGTTCCCGTAAAGCTTCTCCAACCGACTGAATGGTGGAGTGGCCAAGATGAGGTCCACATTGTTGTCTTGGATGCTTAGTTTACTGAGCGTTTCCAGGACAAGTCTCTGAGGTGACAAAGAACCGTGGGGTCCCAGAGTGGGGAAAGGGTCCTGGGCTTCTGCTGAGGGGCACACAGCCCAGTGAAGGAGGCCGTCCAACAGAGGCAAGCAGATGCTTTCGGAGTAGATGGAGAGGTCCAGCTGGCCTGAAATATTTGCCAAAGTGACCAGTGTGTTCTCCCTCAGCAGCTCCAAGCAGTCCCACCACCATTCGTCCCTTTGGCCCACGCCCTCATCCGAATCCTCATCCTTTTCGTAGGTGAGCGGGGCCTGTTTGCGCTCCGGGTGCCGGTGGTGGAGCAGGATTAGTCGGCCCAGTATAAGCAGCAGTCCTGAATGCTTGGACATCTCGTGGTCATTGCCTGGAACGAAGGAGAGGCTGCGGACAATATTTGAGACGCAAATGCAGCGCCGGGCTAAAGAATCCTGCCAGTTAGTCAGTGCAACGAGCGGCCCCTCATCCTTACTGTGAGGCTCGTCCTCCAGGATGGTGCCGTTCTGCTGTGCCTGCTGGGTAAAGAAACTGCCAGAAGAGGGAATGGGTCTATTATTCTCTAGGTGACTTTTTGAGCCATTCTCAACCGTCTTGGAGTCACAATCTGTCTTCCTCTCCTCCTCGCTGCCAAGCAAGGAGCTGGACTTCTCTGAGACTGCTGATCTTTCTGAAGAGGAGGTCTCTTTTGGCATTTCTTCTTCGTCTTGAGGCTTCCTTCTCTCCTCCTCGGCAGGCAAACCATTTTCCCGTATCTCTTCTTCTAGGACTCTCCGCCTTAGTAAAACCGGTGGCACAGGTATTCGTTCGCGTGGTTCCAAGAAGTCTTTTCGTGGCTCAAAGTGGGTCTGGATGTGTTCTGTTGAGTCTCCCCCTCCTGCGCTCCAGTGAAGTAAGCCACTGTCAAACTCTTGAATTTTGCCATGATTATTTGCCTGGGCTGCGGCAAATGGGTCTTTCTTTCGTACCAACTTCAGGGGAAACTTGTCAAACTTGCTCGCCTGCTTGGGTCTCTCGTGGGCAGTTGGGGTGTGTAACGAGCCCGTCTGCTCAGATGATGAACCCTTGCTCTTCTCATCCTGACCGTGAGAGCACTGCTTTTGATCTTCCTCCTCTTTGACATGAGATGACCCCTCCGTTTCTCGTTCTTCCTCTTCATCGTCATCTTCATCCTCTTGTTCCATATCATCCACCCGTGGTTCCTCTTCCTCTGTGCCATTCCAGTCTCGTTTCAAGGTCTCAGGATCAAGTAGTGTTCTCTGGCCAGGGTCGCCGACCTCATACTCCCGCAGGATGCCAAAGATTTCAATGAGGCAGCGTCGGAAATACTCAACCACCAACTCTAATAGACCAGGCAACTGAAGAAACAATATAAAGAAAAATATTAGAAATGATCACCATGCAAACTGCTACAAACATTATTAGGGCTCAATACTGAATCTCACCGTGTTGAGATCGAAGGTGGAAATACTATTGTCGTCATAGAGAAGTATATTGATAGTATCTAAGGCCCACGTGCTTTCAGCCAATAAACCGGACTTTAATGACATCATAACTCTCCAGGCCTCTGGGGTTCCTAAAAGAGAAAAATCAAGAAAAAAAAAATAAAGAAATTAATGAATACCACTACTCTCTGATCAATAACTTACAACTGAGGACAGCTGCAGTATTAAACACTACTGTGAACAATAAAGGGTAATAAGCTGCTTTTAAGTTCTAGAATTTCTTTTCATACCAATATCTTTCATGGTGAGTCTTCGACGTGGCTTCAGGACAGGAAGGGTAGCTTCTACAGAGCCTGGCGGAAAAGGCATGTCTCGCCTTATTAGAGGTGACTGCACTGGAGGGGGCACTATGTGGGATGCAGGCACTGGGGGACCAGCCTTCTGCATCTTCATTCCATGCATAAAGGGAGACTTGCTAGGCGATGTCCTGCTCTCTATGGGGCGGGGCATGGATGCTGGGCTCGGCACCTGTGGAATGTGGTTCTGCACCCCCTGAGGGGGCTGGTAGTTGGACTGTACCGAGCGAGGCATAGGTGTGCCAGGCCCGGCTGGACCGTAAGGAGGCTGCCGAGGGCCCATCTGACCCCCCCACTGGCCATCGTGATTCATCCGTTGTTCTGACGGCATCATCTCCTCTGCCCGGTTCATGCCGGGGTAACCAGGTCCCTGGGGAGGACCCCCAGGGCCACCCTGTCGGCTGGGGTAGTTCTGATAGTTCATATCTCGAGGTCCCTGCCACATGCCTCCCTGAGGACCCTCAGGAGGGCCTGACTGCATCATCTGAGGGGGCATGTTAGGTTGCGAATTGGGCCCAGTTGTCCCCTGCATCCGTTCACGACCAAAGGGAAACGGGAACTGACTGCTGGGGCCGGGTGGACGGCGATCGGCGCCAGGGTAGGGCCCGCTGCTGCTGTACTGATTGTATGGCTCCTGCTGTCCTGAAGAGGGTGCAGAGGCGCCTCCTTGCTGTTGCGGTTGCTGCGGTGGCTGCTGTCCGCCAGGGAAGGGTCCACTGTAGTCAGTCTCGTGACGTTTTGATGGTGGGTAACCGCCTTCCCCTGGACGCTTGTAACTCTACAGAAAATACAAAAGTGCAGACAGACACATTTATCATTTACCATTTAAAGCAAACTGCAAAATGAATAAAGTCATTCACAAAAATGTAAAAAAAATGACAGGAGCGCCATCAAGGACAAAAAAACAAAAAAAATACACAAGTAAAAGTTATAACCTTCACATTGTTTGACCTATACACACTAAGAACACTGGGAGTTGGTGTAGTGCAGATGGATCATTTACCGGTTGCTGTGTGTACATTCCAGGCTGCTGATTTGGGTAAGAGCCAGTAGGGGGCGTTCCCTGTCCAGGATACTGATTACCATAGGAATCATGCCTGCAAAAATAAAAATAAAAAAACAAGTGCCTGTTCAGTTTGACCATGAAAATCTTATGCATCTCTCACCAAGTTACAACAAGCCCCACTGATATGTGTCAGCATACGTCGATGAATGCACACCCAAAGGGCATTTAGCTGTAGATTCCTCTGATCGTGTCACAGTGAATTACATTATACTTAATATCCTTTATACTCCTCTTTGGTGCTTCAACATGATCCATTTTTCTATAAAACATTTACTGTATTATTATGTCAAGCATGTGTTTGTTAACTGCATGGCTCACTACTTGGTGAAAAATACCAGCCAGCAGAGAATTTGTGTTGGATTAAGACAAAATACATTTAAATCAATGCAACTGTATAACATTCATATTCACACAAGATAAAGCTTAAACTAAAGAGCAGTAAATGCCAAGTGAATATTTACTCAAAGATGAAAAAAAAATTACATTAATGAAGCAATACCGCTGTCAAAATGACAAATATAGAAGTTATATCAAAATACAGTGTCTCATGACGCTGTGGACTGGCTTTGTAACGAGACTGGAGAGTTGAAGGTTATTCAAGTTTTACTAAAACAGCAGATTTGTTATATATGAAGAATGACTTCCAATTGACAGTAGTTTGAAAATCTAAAAGGCTGCCAGCCACGAAGTGCTTTGTGAACTGACCGTGGCTGCTGTGGTGGGAAGCGATTTGGCGAATACATCCCCGTGTCGGCGTTGGCAGGCATCATCGGGTTTGGCTGAGGAACACCAGATCCCATGTTGCCTTCTGGGCCCATTCCTTGCTCCGACCTGGGAAAAGTGGAACAATACACGTAGAGATTATGCTAGATCATCCAAAAAAGAAAAGAAAAAACTCATAGGAAATGTTACAAAGCACAAGGTCAAGACATTTTATAAGTGGCTCTCAGTGTATGACTGCTAACAGCGAGGAAGTATATCTTGAATAGCCTACTTTAAACATCCAGTTTGATAGGAAAATGGTAACAAAAGTGACAAATGCAACTAAAAAAGGCTCAGACGGAACACTGTAATCCAAAAATGCCAGTACTCCACATACAAGAACTAACAAACCAGGAAAATTCCCAGGGAAGGAAAGTGAGACACTGCTGATGGAAAGCGTTTTGCTGTTACTACAATAGGTTATGACACCTGTATACCCACATTAGCGCTAAAATGTTTCTCCAGGCAGAAGATGAACTACTACCGTCACTGTCAAAGTAGCTACTGCATAAATAAAAAATATTGGTCCCACCATGCAAGTGTGCAGTATCACTAATTTAAAATAAAAAATTCAAAATCTAATACAATCGTGGGGAAAAGGATTGCCCGTGGAGACTGTACAACGTCTCGTGTTTACTCGTATTACACTTGTTTTAGGGATACATTTCATTCTTGTCACCATATGAACATGTGAATCAACGGCAGCATTAAAATAACCTAAGAGCTTAATTAAGTGTGTAAGAAGCTAGCCAGTTTCTTAAATATCAAATGTATTCAACTCAGTCATTAGACAATTTCTTTGAGGTGAATGGGGACATTTGTGGTTTGATTAATCATGAAAGTACTTGTTTTTACCAGCTGTGTTGAAGGACCATTAAAATTCTGCCTTACCTCCTGTCGTAGCCTGGTCCATAAGGATACTGCTGTCTGGGCCCCATTGGCATTGTGCCCATGGCCCCAGGCGGTCCCCTGTTGAATGGAGGTTGCTGCTGCTGCTGTTGCGGTTGTTGTGGTGGTGGTTGTTGTTGTTGTGGCGGCTGCTGTGATTGATCACCCATCCCGCTGTTGGGACCCGGGTTAGCAGGTAGAAACTGCTCCCCAACTGGAAATATATTTAGAGTTACAAAGCATTTAGAAATGTGTAACTGGTTAATTAGCTGAGACTAACAACACTATTCAGTGTTCCCACCTTTTCGAATGTTACTAAAGGGGTCTTTGTTTGGTTCGTACGGGCCCATTCGACCTTGCATGTCAGGCGTGTTCATGCCAGACTGATAGTTGGAGTTGGGCGTCATGTTCTTCCGGGGAAATGCAGGATCGCTTCCGTCAGAGAAGGGGTCCTGCAGGTTAACGCTGCTCCTAGGAAAGAGGCAAAAGGAAGAAGGATTAGTATAACTAATGTTAATGACTCTTGAAAGCAAAGATTCTTCAGTTAAAATCTTAAACGAGAGTCACCTGGACCCGGGCGGCATGGGGGGCATTTGGGCATGAGGAGTCGAGGCCGGAGTAGGGGGTTTTAAGTCTCCCCCCTCAGCCATGGAGCTGCTGGTAGATTGAGGAGTCTGAGGACCCTGCAGAGAGCCTGACCCAGCTGTGGAGCAGAGGGACGCTTCAGTTTGAAATAAGAGAGGAACAGATAGATATGGTACATGGCTTTAATAACACTGCAAAAGAGCAAGTCGGGCATTTTTGTCAGTTTTAAAGTTCAAAGGGGTTGATTATTGAAAAGGTACGCTCATCAGAAAAGGTTACATGAGCACAGCTCTCACCTGGAGAGGGGGGCTGGACCTTAGCAGCTTGATTCTTTTTGTTGTCTGTAAAGATCTCAGGTGGGGGGTCTTCACCACGCTCAATTTTGCACTCAAAGGCATACAGACACTGGATGTACTGTTTCTTTAAAGAACTAGCAGCACTGCTGGATGTACCCACATTCAAGGAAGTGGCCAGATCACGCCATTTCTTATTCTTATTCACCTGAGATACACACACATACACAAAATACAGGGATATTAGGAAAGGATTCAACAAAGACAAAGCAAAACATTTACTCTGGGATTCATGTTGTTTAAAACTTCCATATTAACCTGCATCATGCCTCCGATCTCTTTAACAGACATGTACAGCCGAAAGAGGTCGAGAGGTTTGCGTCCTACAGCAGGCAGGTTGGTCATGCCCATAGCCTTCTCTTCAATAAAGGCCAAATAACGGTCCACCCACATCTTCCTCTCTGGCTCTGGTCCTAAGTCGTACAGATGTGTTATCTTTTCACTGGTTGTGGTGGAAGAGTTGGACTTCTGTTTAGTGTGAGAGGAGGAAGAAACCAATTTTCAAAATGACAAAGGACATGAGGTGAGGTGCACAGATTTTAAAAGACTTGTAAAAATAGTAATTATATTTAATAGAGGGGTTACCTTCGATTTGGATTCTGGCTTGGGCGTCACACTCCCATCTACCTTGTTATTCATCTTATTGTTCATTTCTGGACTAGAGGCCATGCCTAGAAACAATGGTGGGGAATGAATTAGCTATGAAGCATCCGCGTAAGAGAAAACAAACAGAAAAAAAAGAACAACATTAAGTTATGAGGTTATGCCAGTACAACTTACCACTTGTGTTATTGGCCATGTTTGGCCCCATAGGGTAGGGTGATCCACCTGGAGTGTTCATCATTCCAGGCATACTGTTCATTGGAGGGCCGTAAGGCGGGCCAGAGCCCATCATGCCTGGAGACATGTTGGGGTACCCAGACATCCTGGAGAGAGAGAAATATGTCATCTTATGTGCAAATGGGATGAGGCACTGTGCAGCTACTTCATATTTAGACATGAGTGATAACCAGCAGACTTGTGCCTGGTGAATAAATGCAGGTAGTTGAGGATCCACTGGTAACCAACCTGTTGTGCATGGAGTTTGTGGCAGGGTGTTGCATGGCTGAGGGATCCGGGGGCTTTCTGTTCATTCCTGGTGGAGGACACATTCCTGAGCTCACCTGGGGCGGCATATTGCCCATGTTGGGAGGCATGTTTGGACCCATGCTAGGCCCCATATTGGGACCCATGTTGGGGCCATAGGGCCGTGCCCCCATTTGATTAGGAGGCATCCTTCCTGGAGGCATGCCAGCATATGGAGGACCTCCACCCTGGCTTGCCATGGGATTTATTGAGCCCATGCCAGTCCCAGGGTAGCTGGCATTAGGCATGTTGCCATAGCTAGGTTGCCGAGGATAACCTAAGATGGGAATGATAAGATGGGAAAAAAAAAGGCTCAAGTAAATCACATGGTTGCAACTGAACAGAACTCTGAAAAAACAAAAATCTCACTGCAGCACCCAGAAGTTTCTTGGTTTTTATAATTCAAAGTAGTCTTTTGTTAAAGAGTGCGTGAGGCAGACTTTTCCTTACAGACTGCTAGTACAGAGAGAGAGAGAGTGCACTATGCAGCCTGAGCAACAAGCCTTTGTCACAGTTTCAGCTCTACTGACAGGAGGCTCTGCTACGTCAGCTGACTCTCTGCTTCACAGCTATAAATAGCTGCAACACAGTCAGAGGGAGGGACCAGCGATAGCATGGTATTCATGAGGCAGGGAGATATATTCCTAAGGATTCTCTGATACATTGTAAACAGCAAACTTTTTAGACAGGTTGTAAATGGAGTGGAAAGCCTTTATTAAGCAATATTTAGGCTTAATATAATCAATTTTTAGAAGACAGTTGTCTTAGCAGTATTTCAAAGAATTAAAAAAAAAAACAAAAAAAAAACAGCCTCTCTTAAAGATAACCCAATCCAAAAGTTTAAACCTTGAGGGCCATATTGTCCTCCCTGCTGCCCGTAGCCTCCCATAGAGTTGTTCTGCTGATATGGGCCCATCCCAGGGTGCATCTGTCCCCCAGAGGACTGGCGTGGTGACAGTGCAGAGGCTGACTGGGGGGAGCCATAAGGGGGCATCTGAGGGTTTCTCTGCATAAACCCTAAAAGAGACAAAGACAAAGGCTCAGATGCCACGGCAAACACTCAACATGTTAATCTCAAAGCAGACTTCAGCTGGCAACATACCTCTGTCCTGGGCCATAGGAGACTGGCTCATTGTAGGGTGTAGGCTCCCATCTGACTGCACACTTGACGGTCTGGGAGGCATTTGGGTCCCTAAACAGTAATAATTAAGTTAAATTGGTGAGAGCTCAGGGAAGGAGCAACGAGTAGTTGCTAAGTTTATTCCAATTTGAGGACAAAGGGTGATTTCCATTCTTAAAGATGCATAAAACTATAAACTCTTTTGCACTACTAGACATTCTTAAAAATGGCATTAACACCTCTTCCACCACAGAGATTCAGAACTGGATCGTAAGAGAAAATAACACTGATGTATTTGGGTCGAACCACAGAATACAAAAATGTCTCCCACTGCTTCAAGATTCTACACTGCTTGTTGCCCATTATGGGCCCAGAAAAGCCTTCTGATCTAGTTCTGAGGTTATAAATCCATTCAGACTCTTAATGGGGGGGTGAGAAAAACTTTACACTTTCAGCAAAAAATTTGTCAAACTCTGAGACAAAAATCAGCCCTCACAGAACAGCAGAGAGCATATTTACAGGCTAAACTTTAGAAGGTGCACAATTCTAAATATGCAGACCATGCCAAACACACACACACATTTATGCTTCGTGAACAACCAAACAAAAATAATATTTTAGTGTGCAGCAAAGATCCTGAGGTGCCCGAGGAAACTAAACACAGCAGGCTGAGTTTTGAGGAAATGTGCAATTGCAGGCCATCGATAATGTTTCCATTTACTGTCGGGTCCAAATATAGGACATATAGCTTCAGCGAGGCTTGGGAAACATTTCCAAAAATGGCAAAGAGGGTTTCAAACAAAATTCACCAAAAAGGTAAATGTAATCTCCCAAAAATATGCAAAAACCAACAGCTTCTCTAATAATTTAAGCAGCACTGGTCAGTAATCTGGCATCGCTGTCACGATCAGACATGTAAGAGGCCCGCTAATAATCATATGCCCAATTTCACTGTGAAGGCCCACCTGGCATGTTGGCAGGTGACAGCGGTCCTGTGCGGGATGTGCTGGCGCTGGCAGGGGAACCGGCCGGGGAAGGTGAAGGCCCTCGGATGCCTGGCAGGTGTGGAGATGTGTGAGGAGAGAAGGGCGACTGAGCAGGGTTGCTCTGCTCGCCCTGGCTGCTCGACACCCCTGACGTGCTCACGCCGGGACTCAGGGTGCCCTCTGTACCGGTAGGCAGGTCATCGATGGACCCCGACAGGTCCTGAGAACACATACAGGGAGAAAAGAAAGAACAAGGAGTAAAAGAACTGCACTGCAGAGAGACAGGAAAATTTAGCAGGGCAAAAAATAAATAAATAAAAAAATATGACAGTTTGTGCATTTTGACACAGATGCTCCTTTCTCTTGAGTCCTCTCAACTTTTGGGCAAAATACCGCCACATCTGGCCTACAGCGTCCTAAAAAGAATCAAAACAACCCACAAAAATTTAATAAGAGCACTAAGGAATCTAGAGGCGAATGACTGCAATGGGTCTGTGCTGCTATTTAAATCGATTCCAGCGCAATGTGTTTTCAGTCAGTGACGTATGTGGCAGCACATATCAGACACTCTGCAAGCTTAGACTAGATTAAATGCTGATAAAGAACTGAAGTGATTTCTCTTTACGCTAATATTTTCATTGCGTCCTGCAAGCATGTTTAATTGTTATCCAATGTGTGTCCCTATGCTTATTTGAGCCAAGTCAACGGAGCCTCTGGTTTACAGTATTGTAATGTTTACTTCGTACATTAGCTGTAGTATCAGTACGCTGCAATTTCATCCTTCTGCTGTTAAGACATGAGTGGCAGAGATACAAATACACACACACACACACACACACACCCGGAGGCCTTTGTCCTTATTTATCTTTTTCAAAGAAAAAGTGAGTGCGCATTAGTGCCGGGGGTTGTCATGGTTACCAAGGTTTGTAGGATGCAAGCCGAGTCAGCGTGCAGCGCCAGCTCTGCCATGTGATTTCAATACACAAACAAACAGCCAAGATTCAGTTCAGATGAAGGGCATTTACAAACCTGGAAGTTTGATCCGGACGGATGACCGGAGAGCTGCATTTTAGTTACAGTCAGGTTCGTATTCACAGTTTTTTTGTTTTTGTTTTTTAACACAGGACAAGTCTGCATAACATCAAGTCTTTCAGACTGGTAACTCACTGCATCGTTTAGGTGACGTCATCCTGCATCATCAGGGCTCGCAAAGGTAAATCAAATTCTGCTGAATGGCAGCAGGTCAGTGTGCACTTTAATGCTCTCTGGTTGCACAAAAGAGCTCAAAAGAAATAACGGGAATACCATCCAGAGGTTGTTACTATAGGCTGGAAATCGATCGTGTGCAAAGAAGAGGACTGCACGCAAAAAAAGGTCCAGTACTGAAATGTTTTCAGTTTTAGATGGAAATGCATCGATTAGAAAGCGGTCTTAACAGTTCAAGAACCATCACAGGTGGGGTTTTTTTTACATAACTTTTGAATTCGCACTAAAAAAAAACAAAAAAAAAACAAACAGTGGGTTTGGTCCATTTGCCTTCACAGCCCAAACAAAAACAGAATACGCATGGAAGCAGACTAAAAACATGTTTTCGAATTGTCTCGGTTCAGCCATTTCATCTGTGCAAGTGCTCGATTGTCAGATTTCTCGTCTCATTTGCACAGCACCCTTTTCCAAAAAGCATCAGCCATGGAGCTGTGTCTCAACAACTGAAGAACAGCAGCACGCGCAGCAGCCAGAGCAAAGGAAAATTTTTACATTATCATCAATAATACGAAATGAATTTTAAATGCAATGTGCCATAAACTGCCGTGTTTTTGAAAACTAGCATGATAAATATAATAAAGTGGCAAGGAAAAAATATCTGATGGAAAACTGTGAAAAAGCAATGCCCCGGCGGTGTTATAAGAAGCATAACTGACCGGAAGGCTGGAGGGGCGGCCTTGACCGTCCTCTGGACCAGATTTAGGCTGAGTGGATGGAGGCGCATTGGACTGAAATGAGTCCTGGGATACCTCCTGATAAACAAAAGAACGTGCGCTTAAGTATACTGCCAGAGATACAGAACCACATAGAGAAAACTCATTAACCAAGATGAATATGAGCCAAGACTGAGATTGGTACCTGCGGAGGAGGAGGAGGAAAGCGCTGATAAGGTGACTGTTGTGCTTGCTGCTGTTGAGGGTTCTGGGGGTAACCTGCAGGCTGCCCTTGTGGGTGCTGGCTGTGTCCTGGTGGCTGCTGTGGATGAGACTGTGATTGCTGTTGCTGTGAGGGTGGCTGCTGGGGCCCCTGTATTGATCCTGGGTAGCTGGACTGGCCTTGCGATCCAGGGTTAGACTGGGAGTTGGGCTGCTGCTGGGCCTGACTGGGAGGACCCTGCTGCTGGGTGTAGGGAGACTGGCCAGACTGTGGGGCTGAAGCTTGAGAATAAGGGGGCTGTGACTGTGGGGGCCCTTGGGATGGGCCTGGCAGTGGCCCCTGGGACTGTGGGGGCATGTGGGGCTGCTGATAAGGTGGCCCTCCCTGGGTGTGTGGAGTAGAAGTCTGAGGAGGATGGGGTTGACCTGGATATGGTGACTGGCCGCCAGGTTGTCCAGGTGGAGGCTGTGAATATGGGGTTTGTTGCTGACTTGGGTGAGGAGCCTGGCTTGGTTGGCCATAATAAGGTGCCTGGCCCTGAGAGCCATAGCCTCCTGCTCCCTGCTGGCCATAAGATCCCATCTAAACAGAATATACAAACACACTAAGGCCTCAAACACACCAACAGTAATGAGAGATCTGAACTGAAGATCCAGAATGAAAGATAATACCTGTGGACCATACGGCATGGCCCCCATGCCTCCAGAGGTCCGGCCTTGCATTCCCACTGGATATCTCTGGGGACCTGGCGGGGCATAACCCTGTCCAGGGTAACCAGGCCCTGGTTGTGGACCGGCTGAAGGCCCTTGCTGTGACTGCTGACTGTATGGGCCGCTTGTTCCATATGGCTGACCCCTCATTTTTCCCATCGGGTCCATGGAACCAGGAGGCTGGACATGGCAAGAACAGAGAGCAAAATAAAAAAAATAAAAAAAATCAGATGATAACAGCACAACACAGGAAATCAAGTCATCAAATCCTACAAGTTTCAAGCAAGTGTCCTCACACAGATAATTGTACTATTACAGCTGTAAAATACTCGACTGCAGAGTCTTACATTTCCATACCTGAAAAGAAAAAAAAAAGAAAAGAAAAAGAAACTCCAGCAAACAGGCAAGCTGTGTTTTTCCCCCCACCTTATTTCCCACGGTCATTACCCTGATTTTTTTTCACCTCGCTTTGCCATAGTTTCGGAAGTCAACAGAATATATATACTTTCGAATGGAGGGCAGTCTGCCCAATCTTAAACATATCCCAGCTGTGCTCCTGTTTTGAGTCTGTTCCAAGTAGCCCCCCCTTCCACCCTTCATTGAAGGCAGTTTGGCTCTGGATGAATGACACAAGAAATGAAGGAAGTAACTTCACAACAGCTGTGGAGAGTAAAAACTGTGTATAGCTGTACATAGTCTATAACCTGGCACATTCAGTTTTTAAAAAAAAGCTGGAAATAAAGGTCACATTCTGGATCTTTACTCACGCTCCATCAAAACTGTGTCACATGATAAAAATTAGGCACCCCAAGATGATCTGCTTAAACAAATACATGTAGACACATGAGCTACTTTGGGTGAATCCCCACAAGCGCACCTTGCCAACAAGAGCATCCTCAACTCAATGGCAACTCCTCTGTCCAAATAACAAACAAAAATAAAAAGCGTGACCCTTTGCACATCCAAGATAATCAAGTAAATAAGAGTAGCACATGGCTAATCTGCATAAGACAGAGAGGAAACTCCCTTGGCGGGTGAGAGATGCTGGACTGCCTTCTGATTGGCTTCGGGGGAGGATTGGGGGGAAATTTTCTGCAGTTAAACTTGTGTGGCACGCCAGACACAGCAGCAAAGAGCGCATACACACCCTCGTGGGGAAAGCTCAAATTTGTCTTTTATTCTACTGTGTGTGTATTAAAAAAACAACCATGTGTTTATTGCATTAGCTCGAGAATTTTATAAAATATGGTATATCAGTAAATAAGAGCCCATTTACCCATGATGTCAACTTTACTGTGTTACTAGTGGCTGAATTACATTCAAACACTAAAACAAACTACTTACACCCCTTTTTGGTGTAACAAGCTGCACCCAGAGCCCACAGCAACACATTTCGCATTTTTGGTCAATATTAGCAAATGATGGGAGCAAAACTACAAATCCACACATCATTCAGGTGCGAGCTGCTCCAACTGTGGATTTATTTTGCAAGTAAGAAGTGGAGCTTAGAGGAGGAGAGAAGCAGCAAAAAAATAAAATCTCTGGTGACCCTGTGATGAGTTAATGCTATGTGCTCTTATCAGCAACTGTTGCCTTGCATCACATGTAATTATAAATGGCCATGAGCAGCGGATGAGGAGCCAATCAGATTTCAGCTAGCATGTCAACCCAAGACCAACTATCTCCTGGCTTTGACAGTAGGATTTTACCTCCACAATTCAAATCCCAGTGCAAACTGCAATCTGCTGACTGCATTCAAGTCACTCATAAAAAGCAGGGATGATTGTTTACAGGCGGCGTGCATGCGGGGAAGCCGAGCGGCTTTTCAGCACGGGGAAATTCTTTTTTTAATCAATATATGACCCAAACTAACAGTTTAACCTTTCCCCAGCGAGCAAACTGTGATATTTACGCAATTTAAACAAGACCAACATGAGCCATTTTAACCAACTGCTCGACACGAAACGCATTCCTTCCGTCATGGCCACCGAAATACAGTTTATCGCACAAGAAAACAACACAAACACGAAGGTATGAGCAACCGCCACAAACTCACACGTATAAGAACACGTTACTGTAGCTGTGCACCATCACACGGATGTGTTCGCAGCAAAAATTCATTGTAAATTCAGCACGTAAAAGGAGAAGCAAAGCTATGAGAGAAAAAACGAACCGTTGCTCTTCAGCGACTATTTTCGCCCCCTTTTCAAAGTCGGGCCTTCTTGGCTTCCCCTGAACCGTCCTTTACAACGTTTCAACAACTTATATCCGCCTCGAGCGACGCTTCTTTGTTGCTAGCCAGCTTTATAAATACGTTAAAACAACTCTTATTTAATGGTGTGGTGAAAAGAAAAAAATTACACACAAGAGGCAGCCATTTTAGAGTCTTTGCGAACTAGTATCAGACAATGGCTGGCCTGCTACGTTGTGAACTAGCTAGGAGAAGGGAAGGAGACGTGCTAAAGCTCGTGCCTTGTTCCTGTTAAAATGGCTTTTACCTGGGTTCTTGCTAACGGCTGCCCAGCACTTCCAGGGCTCATAGGCGATGGGTGATGGCTCCTTTGTTGCCAAGCCGGATTGCTCCCTCCATACTGACCGCTACTGCCCATGTCTGCTGGTCCCTTGCTAGCTCCTTCTTGGCTACTATAGTCGCTAGACGGATAGTTTGGATATCCCCGCGTTGAGCTGGGGGAGGTTAGGAGCTTGTTGAGTGTCGGTGTGGATGTAGGTTGAGGGTTTCCAATGTTATATCTCTGATTACTGTAAGATCCAGCCATTGCCGTGGGTCCTCCCGCTGGTGGCTGCTGCTTAGCTGGTTGCCCCCCAGCTGTCGGCGCCTGGGCGCTGCGAGGGGAGTTCATGGCGTACGCTTGGCTGGGATACGGAGTCCTGTTCGGGAATGGGTTATAATTGTTGAACTGGTGGTTTGAAAAGCCATGGTCGTGTGAATTATGTTGATAAGGGTCCATCATGTTGCTCGACTGCACGACCGGACCCGCAGCAGCTGCCATGCCAGGGCTTTGTTGTCCGCCATGTTGATGAAAAGGGGCCCGACCGTAGTGCTGACTGTATCCGTACGAAGGTGGAGGAAAAGCCGCGCCGTGGTGATGCACCAAACCGGGGTGGTTATTTCCCTCCGGTCCGACAGAGTCATTCTGGGTATTATTGTTAGCCCTGGGCGGGTTCCCATTCCCGTTCTTCATCTCAGGTTCTCCTCCTCCCCCTACATTTCCACCGTCGGCCCCGTCCTGCAGATCCCCCCTTCCCGGCGATCCGCCGTCCAAGCCCGGTTGCTTTTTGTCTGGCTGCTTCTCTCCCGGACCCGACTCGTCCTTGGCGTCTCGATCCGGCTTTTTGAGTTCGGACGGCGGACTAGTGTTAAGAGTGGCGGCGCTGGCGACCTGAGCGGCCATGATACACCCCCCACCTCTCTCTCCCTCTCTCGGCGAGTCAGTCACAATCAAAAGCTAGCATTGAATATAAATAATTGTTTAGAACCATTTATCCTTTTGCCGATGCATTCCCACCCCTCATACCGGACCGAATCCGGCCTCCATCCTCCCGGTTCCGGTTCCGTAAATGGGTTAGAGAAATGATGGAGGCTCCATACAATGCGTAAAAAAAGCGACAGAAATTGTTGTGGGAGTTGTGTTACTGAGCCCGGGTAGAGGCAGGGAGCGAACCCAACCAACACGAGGCTCCGCTAGATACAGCCATTTTACTGAGCCGCACAGATGGCCGCAAAACGCGGAGTGGAGCTGTCACAGCGCGGACTGGATTTTTTGTCTTCAGAAAACCTCACGTTGTCTCTCTATCTTTTTTCCCTTCTCCCCACCATAGGTGGAATATTTTCTGCACACGACGAGAGTCGCCCAAACTCATAAACAATGCACTTTAAACCAGCCGCCAATCAAGAGGCTGTATATAGATCACGGGCTGTAGGCTTGGTGAATACGTTTGAGGGTTTCGTGGACTCATCAGTACCCGGGAAAACTAATTAATGCGTAAAAAATATATATAATTTTTCCAAGTATTTGCATAAATGTGGGTGCCACAGCTGCGCGCGTAAAGGGCGTTATTACGCACAGCAGGATACATAAATGCTGCAAACTTTGCACTGCATTCATTTAGCCTGCCTTCCACACACCCAGTTATATTTTTAGACTTTAAAAGCAAAAAGCTGTAACATTCAGCTCGTTTAAATGTGCCTTTGTGCTCTTGGCGTTATTGTGTTCCCCCCGAACAGTGTTTCTGAGTGGTATTTAGGCGAGAGCGAAAGGCAGCGCACGCACAGGTTTTTCCACAGCAGAAGGAGGAAGCCTTGCAGCAAACGAGACTACCAATGCACATTCCCTTATTCCCTCCCCTGCCTGCTTTGCTCTGCTCTGCTCTCTTCTACCACCCCCTCTCTCCTCTCTGTCTGTCTCTCACTCCAGCAGAAACACTCTCTGCCGAGTGTGGGGGGATGGGCGCGCAGGCTCCAGCTTCCCTCTCTCACCCCACTAACATTGAACTACACCGTTCAGAGGAGGGAGGAAGGGGGAAAAAATCAGGCAGACCTCATCTATCAGAAAGAGGATGCATGGACAGTTTCAAAGTCTCCCAAACAGTTAGAAAAACGAGCGTTAGAAAAACGTTCGTCCTCTGCTCAGTCAAATGAAGCAGACATGTTTTTTTTGGCACACACAGGGTGTTTGCGCACAGTGTTGAGCAGGGGTAGGATGGTAATGAAAAGAGTGTGTGCGAGGCTGAGGGAGTTTTTGTGGTTTTGGGTTTTTTTTGGTAGTAATAATTAAATGCGAATTTATTAGACGGTTTACGAGGCATTTAATAGTTCGGACTGTGTATTGATTACAGTTCAGAATCGGGCTGTAAATGGGACGACATTGCCTTTCGGTTTCTGTTCTCACTCTCGACACACACGCAAACTGTCTCTTGCTCTCTCTTTCACACCAAACAACACACGATCTACCTCTTAGGGGGCTTAGAGAGAGGAGGGGGTGGGGCACAGGAGTACCACAGACGGCAACTTGAACACGATGTACTAACATCGAAACACAATTTAACATTCTGGCCTGACTAACACCCCCTAAGTGCACCAACCACACGCACACACACACACACACACACACACACACACACACACACACAACAAAGACCACATACACTTAGACACAGAGCTTTGCAAGGAAGGACTGTACACATATAATTTCAGAGCCACGTCACACCACACAGGGTTAATGCGATTTCCCACACCAGCGCGAGCTCTCAAAGTGGATCACGCTTTATTTCAGTCTGAATTCCAACTTTGCACGAAAGCGCTGGCACACCGAGGCCCCCCGTGTTAAAACCAGCGTCTATGGGCTCCTTTTTAAGTTGGCAGGGTTACGATTTTTTTTTTTTTAAATGTGGGATGTTGAGCTGGGGAGAGTGAACTGGGAGTAGGACAGCAAAGTCAGGGGTAGTCAATAGGGAGAAGTTTTAGTTGTATTTCGAAAGACAAGAGGATCTTCCATCCTAGAGACCAGACACAGGGCCAGTTGTGCAGAAACACAGATTTAATGTGGCTTCCTCTCCCCGCCTGACTTAATTTTTTCGGCTCTGGCTGGTTGAAAGACTTGGAGCAGACTTTTGTGGATCAGGGAGAAGCATTTGCGAGCACATGTGCCATCTGCTGGTGAAACAGCAGATCCATATATACAAGGACTCAACTATTTATGATGCCTTACTTAAGGGCTTTATTGAACCATTTCAGTCTTTGTCATAAAAGAATCATCTCTGGATAATATGCAGTTGTCTTATAAATGTTTATAGGATTATCCACCTTTTCCTTTACCCTAAAACACTGCTCAAAACTTCCCTTTTCACCAGAAAATCGTGCAACTGTCAGGAGGCAGCTGAGGCTCTGGAGATTATATTCCACTGCGTGTCATGTTTTTATGCATGCAGGCTTTATCAGACATCTTCCTCGTCATTCCAGTTTGTGTGTATCTGCCATTATTCACGCAAAACATTTCATTTTTGCACCCATAATAAGAATAAATGGCCATATTCATTACAGTCACGTTGTTGTTTCAGCTCGACGATCGTATCAGGGCTACAAGGCAAAACATGGGCTCCCAAGCATGTATCAAACTCAAACAAAAATGAAACTGAATGACTTTATTTTTTATGCATTTGTAAGGAAGACATTTCTTTTTTGCCTACAAAACATTACAAAAAAAAAAAAAAAAAAAGATTACTCAGCCCACACATTTGCTCCCTTTAGTCTTCGTCACTGTGATTCTTTCATGAGGTGTGGTGCGACCGTGAAGCATCTACAGCACCCACATTTAGTTCCCATGTCTCCACTGCTTCTGCAGAGAGGCTGAGAAGAATTCAGGCCAAGTGAGATGGATGTTCCCAGGACCCCCTTCGTATACTGCTGCTGAAGGGGTGACCGCTTTCGTCCTGTTATTTGAGCTTTTCCATTTACAGCTCCATCATTTCCTCTTCCACAGTCTTTCCACTGGTTTCAACATACCTCTCTTGCACCCCGAGAGTACTGGTTGGTTAAATGTTAAGGAAAACCTGACAAACTACACATAAATTGGCTGTTATTTCTTGGCGTAAGAAATCCTCTCAATAAAACTGTAAACACTTGTGCTTTTCAGACACCTCCTGTAAATCTTTATATTTGGCATCAAACCAGATGAGTCACTGTGAGTCACCACGACGATCAGGAAAGGATACGAGTTGAACTGGAAGTCTGCCCCCACAGCAGCTGACATCATGGCCTGCAGATTCCTCTCCTCCAGGTCTCCAAAGCAGTAGCCGTTGGCCTTGTCCACTGCTCGTAAGACCTGAATCATGCTCTCTTTGTCCTGGAAACCGAAAAGAGAAGTGCTTGATCCGGGGCTTTCTCACAAAGAGAAACTACCCACTGATCCCCTCAAGTGAGATTCACTTTAGAAAGAGGATGACAAAGCCTGTTTGAAAATGTGTGAGCACAGATTTTTCAGATTCTTCTTTGTGTGTTATAAGGTGTTGTCATAATGACATAAGCAGCACGCACATGCAAAGCAATAAATCCTCAAACTTCGCTGACCTCTAACACTTTGCAGCTCTTTCTCAAAGTCAAAAGCTCTTTTATTTTTGGCTGCTTTACCACCATAAGTGGGTAACCAAGGTAACTAATGGCTGCTTAAACTAAGAACATGTACAAAGCATTTGTGCCAACCTGCCTCACGCATAACTTGCTGGTGCCACATGCAGTGATGGCACAAGGTCTAGACTCCTGTCTCTGTGCACACACAGGATCAAATCACTCTTTATAAAGAAGCGATGTCAGGGAACGAGTGCAGAGTGCAGACAGCCCTCTCCCCCAATCCATCTGCACAAAATTGATCCAACCTTCAATTTGAAACGCTAAAAGCGATTTATGATTTAACGGTTCAAATAATGAAATATGAGGCATGTGACTTTTTAAGGGAAACGAACCGCGACGTCTGGTCAGTATGGATGCTTTATGACTACTTCAGAAGAAAGTAAAGAACTCTTGTTTTGCACTCAACATCTCACAGAAGCATGATGCAGATACATTAATTAAGTAATAACAATGAAAATTTGTCGAGTTCACTGGCAAGACATGGCATTTGTTTTTATGTGTACTCTCTAGACCTGTTAGTGGTCCACACAAACTGAACCCATCCATCCATCCATCCATCCATCCACACACTCTCTTAACCACTAATCCAATTCATGGTTGTGTCAGGGCTGCAATAAATAAATACTACTACTACTATCACTGGATGGGGTACATCCCGGACAGGTCCCCAGTCCCTGACACAGAGACAGACAATCACTCACACTATATAGCCAGTTTAACCTAACGTGTAGATCTTTGGACTGTGGGAGCAAGCTGGAGTACCCAGAGAGAGCCCACGTGAGCACAAAGAGAACATGCAAACTGCACACTGAAAGGCTCCAGCTGGCCGTCAGGTTGGAACCAGGAGCCTTTTTGCTGTGAGGCGACAGTGCCACCCCCCTGTTAGTCACTCAACATTAGAGCAATGTATTATACATTCCACTGGTCTTTAACCAACAAACTCCCCAGTACAAAGCCCGTGTGATGTTGGCATGTGTGAATAAAGCAGGCAAGCACATCTGAACAGACTGAGACTCTGAGAAAGGACACCTGTGGAAATTATCACTACTAGATTCTCCCCAAACTGCCAGAACTTCATGTGTGAAAGCAGCTTATTTTATTTATTTAATTCACCAAAGCATATTCTAATTTACTGGGAGTTAAACAGACATTACTGGCTCTTCTTTTGCAGTTAATACCAAAAAGCAGCGCTGGTACCTGTACATTGAGAGGGACAAAGGACACAAGGCTGTAATCTTGTACGACCTCTGCCAACTTTTCATTTAGGTGGCGGAATTTTTTAAAGAAGGGGTCTGCAGCCAAGTGATCGAGAAGATAGGTCAGGTCCATGACCTCTGTGTAGAAGTCAAGGTTGAAGGCTGGAAAAGAGTACAAGACAAATGTTACCAAGGATGATGATGAAAAGCAACCAGTTGTGAAATTCAACAACTCAGCTGGCAATCAATGCCGGTATAGTTTTTTTTCTTTCATCCTACTTTCTTAGAAGGGAAACAAAGAAATATGATTTCTAAAAAGACCTTTAATGTCTTAATCTCACTGTCTTAGAACATTTATCCAGCACAAATCAATGCGATTCATCAGATAATCTCTGACTACAGCCTGTAAAATCTGTTTAAAGCAAACCCTTATTAACTCACCCAGCTTGCCATACTGCTCCATCAAGTCCATCTTGGAGAGAACGTTGACATGGGGAAGCTCGACATGCAGCATCGTAGACAGCGAGGTGCACAGCACTGAAATGAACTTGGCTGGATCAGCACAGTAATGCGAGTCCACGAGGTGCACCGCTGTGAGCTAAAAGAGAGGACATCAGCCCTAAAATTCATCTTGTGATGTTAATATAAATTCACCTTGTTGTGTTAGAGCTGTGTCTACATGATGGCTGTGTGGGTAAGGTAGGAGCTGTGAAGGCTCAGCAGACATACAATAATTATCTAATGATGAAGCTCACCCTGAAATTCCACTTGGCCAGCTGTGAAAAGATATTCTTCACTGAGTTCTGGTGGGTGTAGAGCTCCACCTGTCCAGGACAGTCAAACAAGAAGTAGCAGTCACTGTACTGTTTCAGCTTCTCCTCCAACCAGTCCAGATTTGCTTCGACGTATTCCATGCAGTAGAGAAGTCCACCATTGGGCCCCAGCTTTAAACCTTCCATGACATCGTCCAAAGTCACCAGCTCTGAGATATCTACCGCACAGGAATAAGGTATCCCTTCATTGGCTGGATCCATGTTCACAACCACCACCTTGCGTCCCAGGTGAGTCAGAAACTCTTGCATCCCTTGGCAGTAGGTGGTTTTCCCCGAACCCGGGGGCCCAATAACCACCTGACCGAAACGCAGGGAGGGCTTCGCTTGTGTCTGCTTGGACATGGCTTCAGACTCGCATTAGATGGTGCTAGGATGTCCTGTGCAGGGTACCAACTGGGGTGTTGGCTGGCAGGGTCACCGGATTTGGTATCAAGAGTTCAGTTTTTCTTCCACCAACTACATTAAAAACTCATTAAACACTAAATAATCCTGGACCTGCCATCCACTCCGGCCAGACAAGACTTGTACAAAGTAGCTATTTAAATGTTAATGTACGATAAATCGTAAGTCTACTCAAGACATATGTGCAGGTCCTTAATATAATGTGGACTTTTACTGTAAATTACAGCAATACTGACTGATATTTACCGTTTGCTGATGCTATATTTACATGCGTATGGAAGTCGCTAACACATGCTAACGCTACTCGGAAGTATATCCAAGTTACGTAACTGGCGTGTCAAAATAAAAGCCGGTTGTTAACATGGCGCAACGTGCAGGACTAATTTCAGACTACATTTTTTTCTAAATCATCTCATCCTTGCTCAAACACCACATTATTCCGTCATTAATAGCTTGGTACAATTCATACACATGTGTATAGTTAATATAGGAAAACTAGATTTTGTGTGAGATTAAAAATTAGAGACACTAATCACATGAAAAAAGGATTTCAACGTATATATATATATATATATATATATATATATATATATATATATATATATATATATATATATATATATTATCTATATATCTATATCTATATATCATTGATATGACAGTGTGCGATGTAAATAATTATGCATAAATCTATAGTATATATTAGTAATCACTATCTATTATATATAATATATCTATCTATATCTATATATCTATATATCTATATATATTATATCTATATATATATAATAAAAATATGATATATATATATATATATTATATGATATAGATATACATATATATAGATTAGATATAGATAGATAAGATATATATAGATAGTAGATATAGATATAGATATATAGATATATATAATATGATATAGTATATAGTATAGATATATAATATAATATATATATAGATATAATATATATAAATAGATATAGATAATGATATGATAGATATAGAAATATATAAGATAGTAGATAGATAGATATCTATAGATATAGATAGATAGATAATATGCTAAATTTATATAGGTTACATCCATGATAGATATAGATTATAGATATTACGTGTCTAATTAAGTTGATAGGTAAGAGTATATAGAGCGTCTATTACTCGTTATATGATTATAGATATAATACACGTTTGAAATCCGTTTTTTCAACGGGTGGTATTAGTGTTCTCTAATTTTTAATCTCACAAACAAAG